TAATTGCCACTGTTAAAGATGCATCTAAATCAGTCAATCAGTCGATCAATTTTAATTTTCTAGTGCGCAATGCAAAAAAAAAAGGCACTTTACAAATGATAAACACAGGAGGATTACAAATCGCCCAGGACAGCTTGTAATAAGAGTGAAAGCCAAGGGAAAAAAAGATCAATTACAAGACAATGCAGATGTTTGGTGTGAAAAAGACAGACTGCACAGATCAGAATACTACAGAGGAGTTTGAGTAATAGTAAATGTGTCACGTCATTCACATATATTTTATTTTAGATATAAAAACATTACATTAGAGGCAAATTCCAAAAACAAATGTGAAATCGAACATAGGCCTTTTTACAGGCAAGCTGTATGTACTGCACAAATATGAGTTTGTATTAATTTGGCATTTAAAAATCCTTAAAATAAATCATCAACAGATCTACACTAGCATAAAAATTACTTTATAATCAAATAAAATGGAACAAGCACTAGGTGTTTTATTCATGTTTTGTTAAGGAAGAGCAGGCAAAGACACAGCAACATCAGCAAATGAACTTGAACTTGAACTTTACTGCCATATGTAACTGGTACATGTTCTGGTACAATGGAATTCTTACTTACAGAAAGTCTCTCAACTGGTAAAAAAAAAAAGTGTAAAACACAAAGTGCAGACAGTGCATCAAGACAATTGACAGTACAAACAAACAGTAGACAATGTACAAGTAAACAGTTTGATTGTAAACAATGCAGACACGTAAACAATGGTTGCAGATGTGCAATAAATCAAATTATAATGAGATACTGTAGATGGTGTAGGTGTGGTCCGAGGTGCATGGACGAATGTGTTCTCCAATTGCACTGCTTGTGGGTAGAAAATGAGAAATCTGGTAGTAAGTGTCCGTATGCTCTTGTATTTCTTGCCTGAGGGCAGTGGGGTGAAGAGCTCATGCCCGGGGTGGTGACTCTCCTCTTTGATGGCCAGAATTCTACCACAATGATGATACATTGATAGAAATGATTCAAAAACACTGACCACCTAAGAACTGGAAAAAAACCTGAAACTACATCAGACTTTTTGGCAGGAAAATGCAATCCTTGGTGCTTCTGAAACCAACACATATTGGAAATTAGTTAGGGAATATACATCTGTGGATACAGTCTGGTCTCTGTCTTCTGGAGAAAGAGCTGCGAGTAAGCAGATTAATGAATGGGACAAGATACTCTGAATCCACTCAGAGCTTGTACATCAGTACTGGGTGCACCTCACAAAAAGTCCCATTCTGCTGAAAACCATGCTTGGGCACATATTCATTTATAGCACCTGATAGTATTTTTGGGTGAGTTTTCTTCGTGCAACAGTATCATTTCAGAAATTTCTCCAGAGGCAGAAATCAGAATATCTATTGACCTTATCTAGTCAAATACGACGTACTGCTGAAAATCAGAAATGAGCATTTCACTTCACAGCCAGGGGAATTGTGTGAGCCACGACTTAATGCATATTATTTGGAAGAATCTCTTTTTCTTCCTCTCGCTGGTTGCTGATCTATCGTCCACCCATTCACCTACTGTATTTGTCTGGTTTGAAGCTGCTGGCATTGTTTATTATGGGCTCCAAATAATTAGTAAAAGAAGTGCATTAATGCTGCGCTCACACACAGGAACCATTGCCGGCATGATGTAACTACAGTACATGACAAACTATGATAGCAGACTCCAGTCCGAGCTGACGGTGGTTTGCACTGACACTCACTGTTAAATGTGACTGCTGCGATATTGCTTTTCTGCTCCGATTCTTATTATATCTGAATTTCCACGGCTGTCAAAGCCAGACAGAAACATCTTCATTTTAATACAGGCTGGCTCTTTGCTTCTCTTTTATCACAGCTCTGTCTGCGTCTATAAAGGATATTTGATTCCCTTAAGTTTTTAGAGGGCTTTTATTAAATAGTGAAAGGCAGAACAGATGAGGGCAGAGAATAAAGAATTAATTAATGTATCCTCACTTTCATCTCTGGCTATAGAAATGCCAAGTGTAACCCACATCAGGACCCTCTATTATATGGCAATCTGGCAGCGATTGCCAGCAGTTTTGATAATCTGTTCCACTTCGCTGGACAACCCTTTTGAAATAATGACAATTTAATCATGATTTATCACCCTTTATCAGAGTCAGAATCAATACCCATCAACACCATAAAAAAGACCTTAATTCTGACCGATAAGGCACTGCCCAAACAAAGAGCATCCTAATGGCTCGGCAATTTTTTTTTTAGAGGACACACATTTTTCTTTTTATTTGATTTGATTTCAGTACTTGCAAGACCTCTTTTGCCAACCCAGGAAGCCTGAAAGGACACGAAGGGCAGATCTTCACTGACAAGGCAGATGGACCTGCCGCTCTGTGCTATTAATAATGGGATGCTGACTATCTGCTGGAGCCCGCAGGGCTTGAGCGGCACCTGAGGGACGTCATCCTGTCTCCTCAGTAGACCTGCTCAGTCCGAGCTGCGGAGTCATAGAAATGAAGGTCAGTACTAAACCATGTTTCAGTATCTCCTCTAGTACAGTTTGCCAGCTGCAGGCCAGGCACTGTACATCCCCTGCAAGACGTTCCACAACCTAATCAGTACACCACGTGCACTGCATATTTTTACATACTGTCCTTGCCTTTAAGACAGGGAGCCTGAAAACCTGCTAACAAGGCCGTTTGTTGCTACATGTTTAATTGGGTTCCTTTAATAATTATGATGGCAATAATTTGCAATTCAGCAAATGCTTTCAACCATTCAGAGGCATGGGGGGGGGGGGGTAGTATCTGTATCACGTCTACAGCCTTAGTTGCAGCACGACTTTTTAGATGTTATTATAACAATGAAGTGAAATAAACTTGCTCAGCATGGCACACAGGGGCTGGGTGAGACAAAGACTGGGTCAGGGTTTGAACTGGACAGCAAGCTCTACTCCTTCATCTCTGGTCCCTCAAGGCTCTTTTGAATTGAAATCAGGATTTGAATCCATAAAGCAGAGATCTGTGAATTCTGACTCTATTAAGACTCTAACAAGACACTTTCCAAATTCTCTTCTGCATGTCCTTAAACCTGAAACCTAGCCGGCACACCTTTTGAGAACAGTCAGTTCATCTAAGGGCTCTGTCAACTCCCGAGATTTTCCACTCAAAAGCACAGTTTTGTCAAGCAGTCACTGAAATGGGTGGCATGATATCAACAGGACGGCAGACTTTTTTCAAAATAAATTAAAAGGCTTTTATGGATTTTTCCTCGTGTTTAGGTACAGTATGGACGTTGTCAAATACATTGATCAAGCAAGACAGGTAAAATACAATAAACAATAATTCTTCCAATCGCTAGCTGTTGCGCTAGCAAGTGATTTCAAAGAAGATTTCAAAGAAGACGACGGGATACAGAGTAATGGGACTGTCAAGAGTCGTAAAGCACATAGAGAGTGGCAGGTCATACTCAGCCACGATAAAATCAGGGCAGGGCTTGGTAGCTGGTAAACTGCACAGAGCACTTCTTACTAAAGAAATAACTCTGCACATTGGTATGCCCTTGAAAGGTATTGCATGTTACTGTAAACAGTGCATTGAAAAAAAAATAAGTTACACTGCATATTAGCAGAGGTCCAGCTGAAAAAAAGTAACTGCACTCAATTTTTCAGATGTATTTATGCTTTCGTGAGTCACCCCTTACATGATTGAAAAAGTTTAACCTTGGCACGATAGCAAGCCTGGTAATCATGTACAGCATAAACAGAGCCTTTCGGTTTGAAAAGGGGAAAACAAGATAGTTATGTAAGCTTTTATCTCGCTGCAGCTTCCACAGCCTTGGGTTCAGAATCTCGAGCGTGGCCTCACTCTGTTACCTCCTCAACGCAGCACTCCAGCACACAAACACATACTGGGCAGCTGCTGCAGCAATGAAACACATGTTCCATGTGCCTGGAGACCAGCATAAAGCAAAATGCGTCCAGTTGCAGGACTGCTACTGCACTCCATAATCCTCTTCCAGCCACAGAACTAGGCTGACTGTTTTCAGCAGTGTCAAGTGCCCGAGAGCAGCTGCCTTAATGTTGGAAAAGAGGATTCCAACTTCTCACCCATCCATCTTCTCATTGAAATGATTAAGCCCATTGGTGAAGGTGTGAACATGTTAACATATTTGGTTAATATAAAGGTGCACTAACAATTTGAATCCCAAGACTTATTCCTCTGCAACTGGGGGAATTCTGGTCACTCAGTGCTGGTGACTGGTGATGTGACCCAGGCCAGAACTCATAACATCTGGGCCATACAGCTCATCCTGTATGCTTTTAACTAGTTGGGCCGCTCAGGATGGACAGGATGTAGTTTTACTTAGTAAACTATAGTTCTGAATAAATATGCTTTATGCTGTTGATCGGGACCAACATAAAATCTGAAAGCATGTTTTTGTACGACAGGCAACACAGAGCAGTATTCTGTGTCATTCTGAGCCTATCCCAGGAAACTTCATCTAAAATAATTTTCACATGAATTTCACTTCACCTGAATTAATTTTCACATCCGTTTACTGGATCATAACAGTATGTTGTTAGAATGGTGAGCCTTATTGGAAGTGAAAATAGTGAAAATGGGTTCGATTACAGAACAGCAATGTGAAAGCAGGCATGTGGGAAAACCTCAGAGGGGTTAGGCATCGTAACGCCAGGTGCCCCCCATCCTTTTCCAAAGGAGGAGGAGACCACTCAGCCAGAGCCAGATAGACATCTGCTCTCTCATCTTTCATGAGAGGCTCCCACACTGTAAGACAGGTGGCAAAGTTTTCAATCAATCATAATTGCAGGAATTAATGGTGTTGCAAAAGATACATCTTACATGAATTAACCTTGCGAGAACCTTTCATTAAAGATTTAATATTTTATTTTTGGTGTCAAATTAATGAGCTACATTGTCTTGGCGAAAAAGGGCCTTTTGTTGGTAAACTGCAGGCAGGTTACACTGAGAAAAATAGAATTGGACCAGCAGAGAGGTGCTCTGGTAATTCATTTTTACAGAGAGGTGTTATTTGCACTGTGTAATTAAAGCACTAATCTGAAAAGGGACTGTGAGAGGTGGCCAGGGCCTTTTATGAATAAACAGGTCCGTCCTTCCCTCTCACAGGTGGGCAGTATCAGTACTGGAGAGTCTCAAAGGCGCTCTCTATCCGCGATCCACTTGGATCTCCTCAGAGTGACAACACCTTCCAGCACAGCACAGAACAAACACACAGAATGTGTCCACACTTGATTGATCCAGATCTTTAAAAAATCCCTCGAAACCAGGTTGCCATTCTGGAAAAAAAAAATGAAATTAAAAATTTAGGAACGCTCAGCGCTGGAAATCTGTGGATTAGGCTGAGACTATGGGAATGGGAAGCACAAGAAAGAAGGTGTGAGGTGTGAATGAATGACTGTTGGTCAGGGAAAAGGGGAACTGTCTTCCCCTTTACCTCAACCTTAGCCGGATGCAGCGCTGCACTCCCATCTCTCATGGGTAAAGCATCTGACATCTTGTTAAGCAGAGCTGGCAAATAATTCCAAAAAGATGAAAGAAAAAAACAGCTAAGCTGCTTAGTGTGGCAGTGAAGAGCATGCAGAGCTGAGGCTGTAAAGGGCAGTGGTTAGGTTCAGGTTAATGTCCCTCTAAGCGGCACGCAGGGCCTGAGCTCGTCTAAGTTACTGAAGCCTGAAGCATGAAACTTGGGGAAACAGCGCTCCCCTAGATTAGATACTGGCAGTGCTGGTTCCTACTTCTAAAACAAGCTGCACTGAAGCAATGGGGAGTCCAGTACCACATTCAGGGATAAAAGAGTGGGATCAGAAGTTCAGGAGTTTAAACCACAAATACAAAGCTACCCACTGCTCAACACACATGCACACAGTACATAAAAAAGTAAAAAGAAAACTATATAGCCACCTATTCATGTTATGGAGCATTCAAGTGCCATCCCTACTGTCAATTCTACTGTCAGAACTACTGCAGGTTTTGAGTGTGTTTGAGTGAAAAAATAAGACAGGCTATTTTAACCACCTCACATCATTCTCTCTCCTTTAAACAATGTTGTAAGTACCCAAAATGAAAGGATTTGAAAACTGTAAAGTTGGAACACTGTAACGAAAGTCTTCATTCAGGACCCTATGCAGACGACACAATCCAGGTGAGTGAGAAAAACACAGGGAAAAAGCATGCGGGAGTCGGGAATGAAAACAGGGGGCGTGTCTATGGTGCGCTGGTGTTCGGGGGAGGTGTGGCCGAGGCAAACAATCCAGAAATAAGTCCACAGGGGAATCTGAGAGAAGGCAAAAATCCAAAACCGGGCGGTCCATCCAAGACAAACAAAATAAAAACAAGAGCCGGGTCGGAACCAGCAGGAACAGGAACTTAAAAGCTTGACAGGACCAGGCGCTTCCAGGTCCCGGACTCGCCTGGTACGGAAACCAATGCAGAGCCCGGAACGGAGTAGGCGTCTGGTTTTTAAGGGGAACTGAAAAGGGGGCTGGAACAGGGAGCAGGTGTGGGAGATGAGTAAAGAACAAGGAAGGGCTGGAGCGTCCTTAAGAGGAGGGGTTTATGAACATGAGAAACACAAAAAACTTGAGTAGTGTCTTGACTACAAATATAATCATGGAACAGGTTAGGAAAGACACAACTGAGGTTATAAGCTCCATTCTGAAAAGCTAGTTGTAATGTATGTCTTCAGCTGGGACTCTCTGAAGTTGTAATGTCATGGTAGACAGTCACTGAAAGCCTTATGGCCAAATGAAGGCTCCACTGAATGGCATTGTGTACTACAGTAATGTGCTCACGGAAATACGGTATATGTTTGCAGCTCCTTTCTCTTTGACAAAAGGGACTTGTTGATGAAAGTCATTCCCCGTGTGTGGCTCCAAGTCTTGTCTGTAACATGTGATAATGGTGGAAGGTATTTCTCATTATTTTTTAGTTTACTAGAATTACAGTAAACTACAACTACGCTGTTGTGTACCCAGGCTAATATTTTCATGGCCCGGGACAACACTCTTCTGGCTCTGCATGCAGATACCACCCACAGTGGTGGATACTTCTAATTACCAGGCAGACACTTTTCTAGCCCAGTGCTTGGGGTCATGTCACTGCCCCTTTGCCTTTACTGATCTGAGTACCTTCGTGCAAAGAGGACGCAAACCCTTAAAGAAACAGCTGTGCACTGCATAGCTCTCTTATACTCTGTAACAGAACTTAATACTACTCATTTGTTTCCCGCTCAGTGCCTCCAAGAACAAACTCAAGCTGTTCAATTAAAATCTTCGGAAGCTTTCGGGAGTTTATATGGCTGATGGCACTGGAGGATAAGCGGCGGGGCTCAGTTTGCCAGTGGTGTTCCTGAAATATGGCACAATATTCTCACACCGTCGCCTTGCCCTGCTTGCCTTGCACGGCTGCATCCAGTGTAAACACAGCTGTTTTAAATGGGAAGCCAATTAATTACTCCACTTTCATCTTCTCAAGATGCTACTGTGGGATTTTTTATATTTAATTTTATTCCAGGATTGTTATATAATTAGGTATTCTGATAAATTGCAATTTTAGTTCCAATTTAAACTGCATCAGAATGTAGCAGAATCACACATACTTTATATACAGTACAGTACCCCCATACAGTACACATCATTCTCTCAGTACACATACCCACCAAGTCAGTGGTTTGTCACTCTGCTGCAGATTCTCTTTTCACAAGGATGATAAAACGCACTTTTCCTGGTCACATTTTACAAACTGAGTGTGCAGGCATGTTGCAAGGACAGTGTCTATGTGAAACAGCTGGTTAAGTTGGCAGTGTGGCATATCAGGGAAAAACACACAGCCGACATTTCGTGGACATCAGAAACTGCTGCTTTTCACTTCAGAACACTTAACGAACATCTCTGGGAATTTCCAATAATTGTAGGAGTGGAACTTTGTTGAGAACCATTACGCTGTACAGGACAATGCCATAGAGCTGGGGTTCACAAACTGTGGCTTGTCCGACACTCACAAGTAGTCTACTGACAAAATCACTGCATGTACAGAACATATATTTATTAATAGGCTCCCTAGGTTCTGTCTAATCTACATTACAAGATACATTTGACCAATGAATTTTCCTCTTACCTTGATTAGAAAAGTAAGCCAGATCCACCTTAAAAAAAGCCAGCAGAATCTAATCAGTGTTCCTCCTTAACCAAAATTAGCTGACTATAGCAGCCGTGATAACCCTGCATGGAGAGGGCAAGGCTACTTTCATTATAAGACAGAAAAGTTTGAAGATTATTCCTTTATTTTACTTGAGTGTTTTGCTCTTCCATGTAATAACCTGCAACCGCACTGAAGGTTAAATTCTTCCCGATGTGTGAAGAAGGAAAAAACAGCACTAAAATACAAAAAAATAATTATATTTTGTTTAAATTCTTTGAAAAATAAGTACAGTATGTTACTGAAAGACTAAAAATGAAGCCAGAATATAAGACATTCAAGGACATAATGCTCAATACACTGCAAAATAAAATATATTAAATGTATTGTTAATTCAAAATATTGAGGAAATATAGGAATTTTGTATTGCTAGAACTACAATGCACTACAATGTTTTCTCCTCTTATTACAATTTCACATTGTAATGCTTAAAACAATCCTGATACAGTGTTTCAAAAACTGTTTATTGTACAATATATAAAATGGTCTCTGTACTGCACGTGGTCTAACATGCCCCTTTTCATATTTCAAAGTGCCAAGCAGAACAAATATGCTCGCTGTGGCTATGATTTCTTTCATTCTCACTAATCTCCTACCTCTTATGTCACGTTTAAATGCCTTATGGCACTATCATGCGATAATAATCCCATATAACTGTGATAGAGTTCACATTACTGTGAAAAATCACCCACTGCACATTTGCTTTGAATAAGTGATGCATTTAATATGAGTCTCCCTAAAATTCCCCATGATTCCTGAAATAGACAGAGTAAGCTTCTGTTTTACATGCGATGTGCATTGGAATGATCAATTGTTGTTAACCCCAATTTTTTACTCAGACACAAATCACCTCCTAAAAATGTTTCTATATTTCTATGTAATCATGCTGAAATGTTGGTGGTATTATGCTGTACTGTAGTGCACCAGAGGACAAGGATTTGTAATCATCTAAACAATCTGCTGAAATGATCCAAAATAGTCCTATTTGTATCTAATTTTATACATAATCATGGTGCTAATCAAAAATACAAGCACACAAGCTGCATAATATTGATCTTTAAAAAGAGCTGCACTGCACTGTCCATCCAACACTCATTGGTTGAGGTCTCACGTTGAAATCATTAATCACAATTACACACTTCAGCCAAAATGAAATTTACCAGCTCCTTCTCAACTCTGAGCTCCAATTAAACAAGAATACAGTATCTTCCTCTGCCTTTCTACAGTCTTCTGCTTTTTGACATTACATATATCATCATCATCATCATCATCACCACCAACATGATTATCATCATCATCCTAATTCTTCTCTCCCCCTTCCTTATATAATAATATAAATCGAAGGGATCTTCCAGGCTGCAGTGGGAAAGAGAAAACAATGACCTGAAATAAATTCCACAATGCAGTGTGATTATGTAAACCACAACGACTGATTAATTTGAACTAAATGAGCAAAACTAATTTGGTACCACAATAACAAAACAAAAATCGATTCTGTAATCCGCAAATAAGCACCATCAAAATACTTAATAAACTGAGGCAGCCGATAAGAGCTACACAGGGTTATCCATTTCTCATGAACACTTGCTTTCAGTGTAAAAGGAAAAAAATAATTTCACAAAGCATTATCCCTCCGGCAGATTTCCTGGGAAATTAACCCTCCACAAAAGTCTATAATTATTGAAAAAACATGGCTTTGCTCAGGCATGAGGTAGCAATAATGGCAGTTTGTGCACTTAAGGAATGATCAGTGCTTCCCATCTACTGCCTTACTGTGAAACGCTTGCATGTGGTCTTTTAAATCTCCAGGATAAAGAAAAAAAATCTCAAGGATATGTGATATGTGCTTTGAATCCAATTTGCAGATGTCGACATTTTACAGTACAACAGCCAGGATAGAAAAGGAAGGGGCTTTCTGAGATCTTTTCAGTGATAAGTGATAATGATAATAATAGCACAACATATTAAAATCAAAAACAGTTCAAGATGTCTTGATCCACAAAACCTTCTTCTCACAAAAAAAAGATTCAGTTGTACACCCAATTTTGCAGTAAGAGTCAAGGATATGTCAAAACAACATAATAAAATAACAGCATAGCACATAATAGTTTACACTTTTACAAATGAGAGATTTTAATAATACAGTATATGTAGGTGCTAAGGTGTTAATATCTGTGTGATTTCAGGAAAACTGTCAGTCCCAACAAGCACAGGATATATGAAAGAACATTCACAGAGGGAAATACAGACTACAAAGAGTTCCTACAGATTGAGGCACGTTCAGTTTGACACAGGAAGTGATTTTAAATTTCACACATGAAACAAAAACAATCACCATGGTCAGCTCAGAAAAATACATTCCAATTTAAGGGCACTTTACTATATATACTTAATTCTGAGCTCATTTCACATGAATTTAATCCTGATAAATTACTGTAGCCATGAGTTCGACCCGTTTTTGACTTCTCATTTAACTGCAGGCCATAACTGACTCTGACAGAAACATTTATTGTCATTTTAAAGCTCTGACCTGTGGCTGTATTTTCATACCACAACAGTGACATACAGAAACATACAGTATGACAAATAAAAGGTTTATGGATGTGACCTTTGACCTCCTACACAACCATAGATTTTGTTCAGGTTTGAGATCTCCTCACTATTTTTTTACATGTCTTCCACTGGTTCAGACATTCAAAAGGCAAACGTTTTTTTTTTTTAAATAAAAAGCAGGCCAATGCCAAAAGCGCCTCATTTTGATTGATTTTCATCTGGAAAGGCCACAAAATCAATTAGTATTTTGACAGTATGTCAAAGTTCGACGCATTTTTCTACCTTTCTGATGAAAGAAAGTTAATTCATCCATTTTCTAACCCCTTTATTGAATACAGTTTCACGGGGGAGCTGAAGAAAGCAATGCTAACCACTTCAACATTATGTTAGCCCATGACTTTCCAGACAGATGAACACATGGATAAAAAAATGGTTCATAACTTTAGGAATGAATGTTATTATCCTGCAAGACTTAAGATTGTCCCATTTTTCTTTTCTATACCTTGAGGCAAAGACAGAAACAAGAATATCCATTTGTTCCATTGATATTATATATGCCAAGGGGTTTAGGATGAGAGTACACAATATGTACTTGAAAAAATAAGATCCTGTGCTGTATGGTTTAGCCAAATCAAGCTGTAAACTGTAAACATAGCAGTGAACAACCTGAAATACGTCTGACTGCCTACCTGTTTGGAGATTTTTTGGGGGTTTGAACTGCTCCTGGGGAAAGACAGGAAAATAAATTATTGGGTTCCACAAAAAAAACCACGAAACTCAATGAGTTTGAACAGTGATCTACTTCTAAACCATTACTTTCTTTTCACTACACATCTATACTTCCCAATTTTGCAACAAGAGCACAAGCTCTATGTGAGTAACATTAGCCTATTCACACGTCACTACCTCACCTGTAAGATTCCCCTATTTTGTTTTCTGAAACAAGTGACTTACTTTTAGTTTTTTGGATGACTTGTCAGAGTTGAAGACATGTTAGTGCCAATTACCATCTAGGAAAAGAAAAAAAAGACATAATGTTGGACAATAAGATCGAATTTATTAACTTAAAGTAGGATTATGAAGCAATAAATATCATGGCCGGTCAGACCTCTGGATGCAGGGTTTAGACATGGAAAGGAAGCACTTTTTGTCCTGAGCCATCTATCCATCAGTTTTCTAACTGCATCTTCCTATTCAGGGGAGCCAGAGCCTGTCCCAGCTGGAAACAGGTACTGTACAAGGCAGAGTACACCCTGGACAGGACGCCATTCCATCACAGGGAACAAAGACACAGACACACACACACCAGGGCCAATTGTCCCAGAAGCCAAAGAACCTACAGGTACCTGCATGTTTTTGGACTGCAGGAGCAGATAACACCACAGGTCCGGACTTGAACCCAGGGCCCCAGCATTGAGAAGCAGCAAAGCTAACTGCTGTGCCACCATATCACCCTTGTCCTGAACCCGACAGGCATCAATCAACACTAATTCAGGTCTGATCTTCCAAATACTGTACAAACCACAGTATTAGCCAGTGCTCCAGCACCCAGGTGAATGTAGATCCGGGGCTCCTGAGACTTCTTCTTCTGATAAAACCCCTTGCTTCACTGTAAAAATCCTCCCCTCCAAGTGCAAAAAAAGTGCTCAAAAAGTTTGGCGAGAGGTTTTTAAACAGCTTTCGATTCTCTCATTTCTGTATTTCCTTTACTTTTAATCGTACTTTATTCTTTCTTTTCTTTAAGCTAAACATCGGCCTCAGGGGAAGACTAAATCTTCGTCACAACAGCTCCATAGGACAAATTCTAATTAAGACGCGACGCTCCGATTGATTGTGCTCCTGTATTAAAATACAGCACAATTACAGCTGGAGCAATCCTAAACCCTCTCGCTCCATGAGTCAAAACCTTAAATAGCTTCAGCGATTAGATAACATGATTAACTTGATTCATGAATATGCATTTGAACACTTAAAGGTCTGGTGAATCCAGACTTCAAAGTTTGTACTTGTATTTTTCCATGACTCATGACAGGATTTGCCTGAAGAACTGGATTCTTCCTAATTAACCATTACAGAGAATCATTGTTCATATGATGCATTGCACTCCAACACATTTCGTTCACAGCTAAAGCCAAAACAAAAGACCTCAAATTTTATGTAGGCCATATTTTTACAATACCTTCCAATTGTTCTCCATGTTACACAGATACAATGGAGTTCGACAAAGATCATTTTGAAGTAAGCTTTTGACCTCTCTGCACTCCACATATTCCACTATCTCCTTATTGAATAATAAAGACCTTTCATGTTTAAAAATGTTATTTGCATTGTCAGAAAGTGGAATCTGTACCCTGAACGTCCCTTTACACAACCACTACACTGTATGTCCATGATTGGTGATTTAAGGGAGATCAGTTCCACTGTAGACAAGGGATATGTGCCTCAAGGCTCCAGCTCTTCCTGAATCCAGTTTAGAGGCTGTTTTCGCCTTCATTCCCTCCTGCTGTTGCTGCATTCAAGCTGCTGAAAGACTGGTCACATGCATTCCCAGATGTGACTGAGCAACAGTGTCATTGTCAGCCTGGAGTTGAGCTGCTTTGTGAAGGAAAAGCTACAGTTCTAAACTGATTATTTCAAGCAGATGTGTAAGTGCAAGTCAGCTGCGGTCAGTTTCATTCCCGAACGTCCTCTTTCCAGCAGGTTCTTCCATCTTTATTTAACCCCGTGCTCTCTAAAGAGCCAAGACAATACCAGCTGATCAATCACATCATTGATTTCATTTGACTTTAAGCCACTGCAACTGAACTTCCAGGATCAAACAGATATACTGTAGAAATCCATTCAACCCAACATAACGTCTTTAATGCATGGATTAAAAATAAATTTTGGATTACAAAAACTGTTGGCACACCGCTCAAAACTCAGATTAGGCGACCTGTGTCTTATTTGCTCTGTGTTGGATAGGGACATCTTGAGTCTAGCCAATGGAGAGCCATCAGCAAAGCACAGAATATAGAATCAGCACTGGGAGGTGGGTCAAATATTTGATTTAACATCAGTGTGTACGACAATAAATGCATCAATACATTGTTAATCATTGAGATGAGACTGCAAGGACACTTTCCGATACATAAATAGTTTAAGGGCAAATGCATTTGTATTCAAGTCACAATTCTTGTAAAATACTGTATAAAGCATGCATTCCTTAACTCCTGAGTCACTGCCACAGTTTTCAGCTGTACTACAGCTACATCCTAACAGATGTTATCTGCACTATCATTTTTAATTAGCTGTGCCTCAAGACAGCAAAGAAGAAATAAAAAAAAGATATGCTGGGCTTCAGATTTTACAACAAACAATCAAACCTGTTGTAAGAATGCCATTGATTTTCCTGTAAATTGACTGTGTTTCCATTTGGAGAACATGAATGCTATCATGATACAGGTGAAACTTTACTAATTTATTGTCGATACACCCAGGAAGGAGGCATGCCCTCAATTTTATCGCAATAAAGAGCATTTTCAGCAACAACCACCGCAATTGCCAGGTCCCTGACACTATTTGCTGTGCTTTCAGAAAAAGACATTGTGGTAAACCTGAGGGTGGTGCAGCAGTGATCTTTTTCTAAGCTGGACTCAGTTAACAAATGCACTAAACAGCAAAACATTTTTAAAAGACAGTGTTATCTATTTACAGGGCAATAAAAAAGGCAAACAAAATTCTAGCTCTTCTTTTTTCAACAGTAGCTGAACCTGTTCAATGTTCCCTCACTGTTAATACGGCCAGGAGTTCTAGCTGCTTACCAGCATCCAGATTTCCCCACTCCTGGAACCAAAACACTGCCAAACCAGGAATCCTTCTCAAGAAGGACTCACACTGATCCACAGGCTCTTTGTTTAGCCTACATGTTTGATCCCTTATTCCTCTGTTTCAATGCAACATCAGAGGTTCTGCTCTCTTCATCAGATAGCAGAAGCCAGCGACCTTTAAAAACCTTGGTTTTAAAATTAAATCCAACCAATTGTCCTCTTCCAATAAATCAGGTGACAGGAAAAAGCGTTCATTCCCATTCCTCTCACAACATATATGACAAATCCCAAAGCCTAACAAGAAATTCCATGCCCACTACAGATAATGGCATATTTAAACTGCCCATTATGTTTCCTAAGGAGAAGTTATTTACAATAGATCTACATAGAATATGTCATTATCCATCTTCTAAACATTTTATCCAGGATCATGGGAGAACCAGAGCCTACCGAAGCAAGCAACAGGAGCTAGGCAGGAAAAACTCTGGAGGGGACAGCAGTCCATCGCAAGACACACACACCTCATTGTTTCTTTGGATTGTGGGAGAAAACCCACATGAACACAGGGTGAACGTACTGTACAACCTCCATGTAACAACCAGGAATTGACCCCAGGGACCAAGCGCTACAAGGCAGCTGGATTCTTACAATCTTTATTTGTCGTTTAATTCTAGTTTCTTATCTATTTGAATCCATTAGGAATATGGTACCAATAACCTCAGATGTCATTAGCTGCAATAAATAATAGGAGCAGAGAGGAATATTTGTGCAACACTGCAAAGGTGTTGAGGTGCCTGTTACTGTACCTTACTGAGTCAATATTATGCTTGGCCACTGATTTTAAAAGCTGCACCAGTGATGGCAGGAGGTCACATGAATGATCTTTGATGCGGCCCATTAAACAGTTAAATACTGCAAGTGTCATAGGGCCTTCCCAAAGAGCTATAGTTTTAGTGAACTTTCAATGTATTTGTGAAATTACTGAAATTAATATCAGAAACAACTCAATCACAAAGTCTTTGATAAAAGGAGGCTCAAATCAAGATTCTATGAAAAGCAACATGGAAGCTGACCTTTTGCATAGTGGACAGACGTATAGTAAGGACACCTGGGGACCTATTTCCTTAAAGTACAGACAATGTGTAATTACATTAAGCGCTGGCATGCAAACAACTGTGTGTCGTGTTGAAAACACCGTATCACAAGCTCTGGCTATAATAAATGTATACTTAATATCCGCAATGTAACTGCATGATAAGTGGAGCCACCTTGCACACACATTTTCCAAGCTGAAGACTACTTGTCATTACACCTGGGCTTTTATGCACTACTTGCAGTCTCAAGGCCTTACCACTTTATTCTGGAGTGTTTTAGTTCCAGAAAGTCTAGAGGAACCCTTTGTGCACGCTCTAGGAAGGCACTCCAGCTATAGGGAGCGAGGGCTCATCTGCATGTCAAGATTTTGAGAGCCAAATCAACCTCCTGTCTGCACTTTTCAGTGGGAATTCGCAGGGCTGTTAGCTCTGTAATTATCTACGAGAAAGAGAACGACCTAGTACTGTCACAAAATGAAAATCAGCCTTTTCTTTCATTATATTAAAGCTGAATTTACTTTTCTGTATTTTCAAGACTCCAAGTTTGCTTATGCCACTATACAGGAAATAACCCACCTTCAAAATGTCATATCTACAGTAACTTCCTTAAAGTTTTGTTTTAGAGGCTAAAGAGGTTTAAAACAACCTCAAAAAGCTTGATGAAATCAGATAGGTCACAAGCTGCCACATTTTAACATTAAAATATTCAGCAAAATCTGATCATGGTTTCTGGTGACTTAAAGCATTTGCTTAGCTATGTTTATGTAAATGTTCTTGTACCAATGTAGTGTTTTCTACTGGAAACAAGATCTATTTGTACACAAGACAAGAAAGCAAACAAAATGCCAATAATTCCAAACAGATTATCTCCATCACGGTTTGCCAAGAATTCAGTGCTGAGAGATATGGACCCACTGTCCAAGAATGGCATGTGCCACTTCCCCTTCATGCACCAACCAAGAGCACGCATGGCATGACAACAGGTAAAGGAAAGCAATCCAAGTTGAGTCAAGCAGGAATTTTATCACATTTGTCCCCGCCCACTGCATCGAGATGAAAGCAGCGCCCAGAAATTAATCGCTGGTGCTACAGGAATGGTTGATACTA